ATCTATCTATCTATCTATCTATCTATCTATCTATCTATCTATCTATCTATCTATCTATCTATCATCTATCTATCTATCTATCTATCTATCTATCTATCTAATTTATCTATCATTGCTTTTAAAAATGCTTTGCAATTCTTTTGTCTCAGGAAAGATGAATATTCTATCTGCAGTAAGATCTGAGAAGTAAAACTAACAATCAAATGAGATGTTAACTTGGTAGGAACATGGCAAAACTCAACTTGGAGAATAGCAGATGCTTTCCATTTGCAGTTTAGCCTTTTCAAAGCTTCTTCTCAAAGCTAACTTTCTGTTGTACACATCGGAATTAAGATTTTGCTACACAAATGTGAGTAGCTGAGTCTTAAGAACAGATGATATAGTTCCCAGCATATTTTGATAAGTAGTTATGGTAATAAAAGAAAGCCAAGAATCATTTCATTGTTTAAATTTAATTGTTTTAATTAAATTTATATGCTGCCATCTCACTATCCATCAATCTGAACTTTTTCACCATAACTTCATTCCTTATATTGTATTTCTGTTATGGAGAAGCTGTTTTTCTTAGCCCAACTTGCTTTGTAGTTAGACCTTCTTGCATCCAAAAACTGTACTTTAGGCCAGTGTTTCTCAACCTCGGCAGCTTTCAGATGTGTGCACATCAACTCTCAGAATTCCTCAGCCTCATGTTAGGGACCTGAATTCTGCAATCTTAAAGTTACATTGCTTGAGAGATGCTAGTTGTTAACATCTGACATAAAGTAGTACTTAATCAGTTGTTGCAAATGGGAAAACTAAGTTAAATTACAAATGTAATTTTCTAAAAAAACCACAACCCAAAACAACCCAGTGTAATAAAACTGAATAACTAAATAAATCATATTTCTAAAGCCTTCCAGGTAGCCACTTGGCAGAATGGAAGGAGAAGAAATCTTTAATAATATTTTTTTTTTCTATTCTGTTTCATTTTGTTTCAAGCCTGCATCATTTTTCCCGCAAAAAACAAAGCATCAATTTAAAGAAAAAAAAACAATTAAATCATGGAATATATATCTTGGTCATGGATATGTTCTGGTTCCTTTTTTCCTGAGGCATGATTAAATTCCCTCCTGCAGAAAATCTCTATGGATGGGGATCCTGTGGCCCTTCTAATATAGCTGACTACCAGCTCCCCCAGCACCCTTTGGGGCCAAAAAGTTCCCCAGTCTTGATTTAGACTCATTGTATAGGGTAAACATTAATTCATACAGTACTAAGTAGCATATAAAGAGAGCGACAAAGATCTTCTTTTGGGTGAGGCCAGGGTCAGCTTATTGTACAGCCTCCCTTCTCCTTGAATGGGTTCTTGTCCTCTGGAACCCCTTTTAAGATGGCGTCTTCTGCAGCCATAGATTCTATAAAGGTTCTGAGTTCTTTTGCTGTCTTGGAGATCTAGGTGGGGGGAAAAAATGCAGCGTTTCATTTCCTGAACTTTTGGTTTCTGATTTACAACCTCTAAATAATATGACGATCCCACCTAGAGAATTAATAGGGAACCTTCCCACAGGAGAATAACGAAGAATAGTTTTGCAAGTCTCTCTTTCATTCTTTCTACAGCATTGTGATTCTAAATAAGGGCTCAAATGTACCACCTTAACTGTTTCAGCTGTTTGTAAACTCAAAATGACTAATTTCTGAGTAATTAATTTGCTTCTTTTTGCTACTGCTACACTTCACTCTGTTTTCTCAAGTTCTAAACATAAGATTCAAAGTAAGAGTTTAATAATGGAGATATTTGGCACAATGGGAACAATCTTCCTTGAGACAAAAACTTTTCTATGACTATTATATGACTCCTAACTTCTTAAGAAGCCAGGTGTTTTTATCCTCAAGTTTCATATGTGGCTGCTTTGAATTTGGATTAGATCATTGATCATTGATCATTCAATACAGTTGTATTTCTTGATGGCAAATTTTTAATAACTGTACATTCTGCTATGATGTTTATAGCATGTTTTTCTGTTGATTCTCCTAAATAGTTTTTAACATATGTTGTATATGTCCTAAAATATGTTCACAGAAAACATTTCTTGTACAGGTTGACTAATATAAAATTTGAAAATTATATTTGCACAATAATTTAACCTTCCAATTTGACTAGTTGGTGCCATAATGTATCAAGTCTCAGTTCAAAGTATTTGGTAGGAAGATTTTTGAAGATTGTGGAACAATGTGAATTTCATTTTTTTTTCTGCTCTGTGCTAATGATATTTTTCCTCATTGTGTCACATTGTGTCATTTCCTCATTGTGTCACAGGATGGCTTCGTGAAAGTCTTTAGACAATGAGGAGGTTCATTTGCATCCTACCATGGAGATGGAAATGGAGATATCATGCCGATTGCCACTTGACAACTTTATCAGAAGAGGAAGAAGGATTCTTCTTACATATATTCCTGCTTACCCTCTCTTGTTCCTTCCTTAATACCAACAGCTTTAAAAGTATCTATCAAGCCTCCATCCCAGCCTGATTCAGATAAGGTGGTTCCTCTCTCTGAAATTTGTCTGTCCTAACCAATCCAGGGTAGTTGTCAGCATGGAAATTTTTAGATGTGCCCTGTGACTAAAACTGTTGGGGACTCCATTGTTGGCAAACATATTTATGTTGTCTTAATGTAATTTTGTGTTTTAAACATGAACATTTAGCATAGTTATTTGGATGAAAAACCATTGGAATAATAAATAAATAAATAATAATAAAGAAATAATAATAAATAATATTTCATACAATGCCCTGTGAAGACACAGTTGAAACATATGGAAACTACAACACTGCATGATATTCCTGCAGCACTAATTATTTCAGCATGTCTTTTGCAAGTTAACTTTCCAGTCAGTTGTCTCCTTTATATTTTTATTTATTTGATGATTTTATTCTTTTCCTTTCCCTCTGACAATTTAATATTCTACATTTCAGAAAGTATAACTATGCTGACACCAACTGGCTGAACAAGAGAAAATCAACCCATTGGTTCCTATAACTTTTAGTCGGCATAACATAAAGTTATGTCGACTAACACTTCTGAAGTGCTGTTGATGCAGAAGCACTGATTTTTTTTAGTAGAGATACACCTGAAGCCCGTTACCATTTGTCTTTCAAGCTTCACTTCCTTCTTCAGTTGATCTAATTCCATCTGCTTTAGCTCCTTCTCACTCATATCCTGAGACATTATGCTCTGTAATACAAATATCAATCCATATTAGTCTTCTTGGCAGAAACAAGCCATCTGTCAATCAACTACAAACACAGTCAGTTATGCTTATTAAATCGATCACAGTTAAACAGATGTAAACCTGGTTGACCTCTTACTTTAGCCCCCCCCCCAACCCCTTGGATTCCCATGTGTCTCCTATGGGAGGAATAATTCTGGAGGAAAGAATAATACATATTTAAAGCAAAAGCAATGAAGTGATCAACATGTCCACTTCTGTGTTTTGATGCTGAGCTTCTTGGCGTCTAGTTTTATCGCTTGCTGATTCTCTGGATGATCCTTCAGAGCCAAGGGATATCAGCCCCAAGATCCAATCCTTCCACAAGGAATCATGAGTTACTGACCCCCAGAAACAAAAATCAAGTCTAGGGTTAATTCCAGAAGAGATGGTTGTAGTGTTCTGCTTGTATATATCCTTCATTTTCTGCCACTTCACTTTTTCATATGATCAAAAACACCTTAAGAGGACAGGATAATAGTTCTTTGTCTTGGATTAGACAAAGCTTTCATTCCTGAATATCTAGCTATTTTCATGAAATTATTTGAGAAAGTCCAGACTATGACTGCTCCCAGTTTTAAGCTTAAGGCATTTTCCTGCTGCTTCCTCGATCTTTTTAACCTCTAAATAAATCGTATTAAGGAGGGGGAAAAACGAACTGCTGCACACTGAGTTCTGACTGAAAACATTAGAGCCTTGTTTGGCAGCACTGAAAGAAGAGGAGGAGCAACTGGAAGATAAATGAGGCAAGAAAGCTTACTGTATTCTTCCCAGGAGTGGCAAAGGTGAAAAGAAGTCAATAGTGGTTCATTTCACTTTTAATAAACCTGGTACCTGGCATCTAATTACTATCTGATATAATTTGAGCCTTAGCCTAGGAGCAATATGTATTTGTTTCAAGGCCATAATGCAATCTTGACAGTTAGGATTTTCAATCTTATTAAAAGAAATCTATGTTAAACCAGTTCTATAGTTAAGAGGCTTATCCAAAATCCCGTTAACTGCCACATGCTACTCTGATTAACATGGACCAATTGGTTTTATGACCAATCATCGTACTCTAAAAATGTAATTTTGCAGCCTCTGAGTCTGAGAGTAGCAGAGTTATGTGATAATAATGTGGTAGGGTCAATGAAAGAGTTAGGATTTGGGGCAGTTTTTTTCATTAGTGTGATATGTTTAGACACTACAATGAGCCAAAACCCAACGAATCATAATATGGGTTACTTGTAGTCATAATCTAAGATTTAGAATAATTTAATATAAACTTCTTTGGCTTAGGGAATTGTCTGAATCATCCAGGAAAGTTCAGGATCTCTTAGGAAAACTAAGGAGATTCTTTTAAAGAATTGATCTCAGAAATACTCAAGAGAAATCCAGGACAAGATAAATCTAGATTATATTCTCTTTCAGTTACTCATCATTGAGTAACCTTGAGCCAGTGACTTTTTCAACCATACTATTGTTATTGTGAGAAAAAATAGAGAATGGGGACATCATGAACTCCCAAATGAAAGATGAGCTTAAAGTAAGCAAACACCTTTTCCTTGAGGAAGGTTACAGCAGTTAAATTGGTAAGGTAGGTAAGGTTTTAGTGTACATATACCACAACCATTGTCTTGTTTTCTGTTTTTGAGTATCTTCTTTGAATTTCTTATTGTAATATATTATACATGGAGTTGCCCTTGAAAATAACTTGGATAATTCCATCTGCCCAAAATTCGGCAGCAGAATTTTGTATGAGTCTGGATGTTTCAATCATATCATAAGACTGTTTTTATTTTCAGTCTAGTTCAAAATGCTGGTCTTAATCTGAAGTCCTAAATGACTTGAGGCTAATTATGTTTTAAAAAAGATTCTTTCCTTCTACATTTACCTACCAGGACTCTAAGAGCTTCTCTGAAATACTCCTCAGGATGTTCCTGGCAGTTGTGCTTTAGCAGAAATCTATCTGGAAAAAATGGTACTCCGTGAGGTAATCTGAACCTTCTGGACCCATCAAAGATCATTCTCATCCCGATTAGTTTTAATTTTTTAAATGACTTTCACTAATGCTTATTTTCCTGCTTGCATGTTGTTTTGGCATTACTAGTATTTTGATTGATTTTTATGCTTTAGTATTTTATTAGTTAAATTGAAACAAAACTGAAATAAATCCAGAGGATGATGATAAGTAGGTGAGGAAATAAATAAGCAAACACTAAAGAAAAAAAAAAGATGGTGTTATCATAAACTTGGTAACTTTTTGCTTATTCCAATTCATGAAGGAGAAGGGGAAGGGCTGACTTTTACTGGAACACCAAAAAAAAAAAAAACACCCAGGAAATTTTCTGAACAAAGCAAAGAAGTATACTGTATAACTCAAGAGCTGCTCATATAAAGAGAGGTCAATTTATGGACCATTAGAAAGGCTTTCTATGAATTTTGAGCTGAGCGAGCATGGTGTTTAAACTGGTTGTGATATTAAACACAAGTGCTCTATTAAAGATGTCTCGTGGGCAAGCGTGGGATGCAGTGGCTCAGTGGCTAAGACGCTGAGCTTGTTGATCAGAAAGGTGGGCAGTTCGGCAGTTCGAATCCCTAGCACCACGTAGTGGAGTGAGCTTCCGTTACTTGTCCCAGCTTCTGCCAACCTGGCAGTTCAAAAGCATTTAAAAATGCAAGTAGAAAAATAGGGACCACTTTGGTGGGAAGGTAACAGCGTTCCGTGCGCCTTCGGTGTTTAGTCATGCCGGCCACATGACCATGGAAATGTCTTCAGATAGCGCTGGCTCTTCAGCTTTGTAACGGAGATGAGCACCGCTCCCTAGAGCTGGAAACGACTGGCATGTATGCGTGAGGGAAATCTTTACCTTTACATGGGCAAGAGTGAATGTTCTAAGCCAGGGGTCCCCAACCACCGGTCCCCGGACTGGTACCGGTCCGTGGATCATTTTTTACCGGGCCGCAAAGCTTGGGCGCCGCGAGGGAGAGAGAGGGAGAAAAGAGCGTTACGGTATGCCCAGCGCTAGTCTCCCTTTTCCTCTCCTTCTCCTTCTCCCCCATCAACCACGCACACGCGCAGATAAAGCTGTTGCTGTTGCTGCTGCTGCTGCACCACGACCCGGAGGAACAGATTGAGCACAGGGGCTGAAGGAGCGCCACGGCGTCCGTCGCCAGAGCGCAAGGAAGCAGCAGCAGCTGCGGTGGCAGCGGCTGCTGCACCTCCGACTTTCCTGGGGAAGGTCATTCCCTGACCAGTCACGCTTCCCGGCCCACGCTTGCACCCCTCGCCCCCCTGCCGCCCACTTCCTCGCAGGTGGAGGCGGGAAGCTGCGAGGAATTCGGGCGTGCTTTCTAACTGGCTGTGCCAAGTCTTTTTTTTTTTTTTGCTCGAGGCTGGAAAGAAGAAGGGTGACGGGTCACTGAGGAAGGTGAGAGAGACTGAGAAGGGAGAGAGAAGCCCAGCTAAAGCAGCTCCATGCTGCTTTAGGGACTAGTAGTAGAAGGCGGCGGTTGGCGGCACTTGCCACCAGGCGATGCTTCCGGGTTTTCGGTTGGAAAGCGGCGTTTGGGTGCTCGCGCCTTAGTTTCGTTGAAGGGGGGGGCTTCAAACCAAGAGCCGTCCCGATGGCGGTGGAGTCTCGCGTTACTCAGGTACCAGTCTGTGGAAGAATAAATAATCGTGAAACCGGTCCCTGGTTCACAAAAGGTTGGGGGCCACTGTTCTAGTCATAGGTACAATTTATCCCACAATCATGATCACAATATCTTTGTGTGAGGAATCACATGAACTGAAAACAGAATCTTGTTTTCACAATACAGAACAGGTGGAAAAAGCCTTGAGTTGCAAGCTAGAATTGGTGCGGCCTCAGGCCAAAAGCTTAGATCAAAATAGGTCAAGCTATTTTATCAGCTCTTATTTAAAAAAAAAAAAAAAAACCTTCAGCTTAAACTAAGTCTTTTGCAGTTATCTTTCCATGAGAATATGATGTTCCAGATAAAGAATTCCTTTCCTTTGATACTGGCTGCTTAAATAATTTGAATTATCCTAGTTTGAAATACTACAGGGACATATTGCAAAGCAGTTTGTGAAAGGGATAAATAAAAAAAGTTCCAAATGTTGAATATTGGATACTTTAAATTAACAAGAGATGGCAAAATTGAGCTATCTAATGAGAAAATTACACAGAGGCTTTTGTAAAAGACTGAAACCCATTTATGGATTTTATTTAAAAAAGCAGAGAAAAATAATTTGATAATAAAGTTTTTATACATTAAATAAAGGGAGAAAATGGAAAATTTAAAAAGAAATTATAATGGTATAAAAGAATAAGAAATGATTAATGATCCATGAGAAATGCAAAAGATAGAAGTAGACTATATTTTTAAGTTCTTTAGTTTTGCATTTGCACATTTATGTTTTTGCTTATGTTTTTGTATTTTAAATGTTTCTTTATATGTAGATTTTAATAAAGTTTATTTAAAAAGCCATTTTCCAGTTTAGTAAATCTGCAAACTGGTTCATACCTACCAAGAAATCCCACCACTGTACTGAAAAAGAAAAACTTTCTGGGAAAAAACAATGGCAAATAAATTCAACACTGTTTTTTAAAAAAGTATGTGACCCTTAAGCCAGATAATTGAGCTTGACTTTTAAAAGAGTTTTTACTCCTTAACTCTAGGGAAATGCTTTAATCTTTTTTTAATCTGCATATATTAGTAAGGCAGTTGTTTTGTTTCAATTGTCTCCAATCTAGTACATTCAGTATATGTTAGAGACCAATTGTCAGTCAAAAATAACTGACTGTGGTAGCTAGAAATAAAAACAGTGGTCAAAATCCCACAATTTTGGGAAGTTCCAAGTTTGGGAAGGATGCTTTATGGCTTTATATGAGTAGAGGTGAACACATATTATTTGTTACCTTCTTAAGCAGAGGAATGGGAATACACAGATCTATACACAGGTATATTTTTGCCTCAAGGAACATTGACCTGTTTTTGCAAAACAAATCAGGAATAACATTTTTATAATCTTGTTGCTATTTGGGGAGTAGGAGGTGAGAAGTTGCCCTTCACTAGACTTTTTCCATCCATAAGATCCAAAGTTATTTATTTTGCTAATGAATTAAGCCTCTAAGGTAAGCCTTATCGGTATTTTGAAGACTGAGGATGACAATGAAGGTAACACAGACTTTCCTCAAGGTCACCAAACAAAATGAAGTGAGACACTGGGATTCGGTGTGTCTCAATTTTAGATCCAAATTGTTTCAAGTACAAATCGGCTGTTTTAACTCTTTCCACCTCTTTTCTAAATTGTGCTTTTTCAAAAGACAACTGGATTTATTTTTTCCTTGTGGAAAACATTTCACCTGTCATCCAAAAAGCTTCTTCAGTTCTTGGATGAGAAATGAAACATCTTCCTCAATGCAAAAATAAGTCCTGTTGCTTTTTGAAAAAGCACCTTTCAGATAACCTGGTTGATTAATAATCTCCATAGACATTTTCTATCCCCTTTGTTTCTCTGAGATGCTTTGTGAATGCACAGCCAGAGGTGAATTCTGTTTTGGTGTCTAAATTTTGGTTGAACTTAGTACAGCATATAATTATACGATGAGAGCTTTGCAGAAATGGTAGTTCACACTGAAGTTTGAAATGTGGTGTTTACAAAGACGATGGTTGTCTGAAGTATCACTGAAATGTTATTGCCCTCCCAATCAAAGACAATACTTTAGAACATCTTGCATTCTGTATGGAGATGGTTATTAAGCCATCCTGTAAGTCACAGCCTCTTGTAAGGTTTTCAAGAGTTTAGTTGCTAGAATGTGTGTTAGAGCTTTTGTGTTAGGCACTTATCTTAGAGCACTGGCTTTCAAACAGTATTCTAGGAATAGGGTCCCCATAGTGGGAATTGTCAGGCTCTGAGAATCATTGCAACATAAATGATTTATTAAAGCCTCCACCCAAGAATCTGGCCAACTAATGGTCAGCACTAAATTGGTACTAGATAAGTCAGTAGAATTCAAAGGGCATGGATTTCTTGTGATAATGCAAGGACCCTACACCAATGATGCATTTTTATACCATCTTCCAGTTCTGCCTGCTTTCTCCTACAGGAATTAGTTATTAGAATGTCAATCCCTGTTTCAACATGGTTGGGCAATTAATTTTCCCAAGGAGCCACATGAGAAACTGGGACTGTTGTGGGTGGCCAAACCAATGTAACCTGATTTGATATCCTTAAACTCCATCAACTCATCAGGCTGTTCCATGCGAGGAGGGAGCATTGTGCAGTCACAGAAGAGTGCTTTCTCTCCTCACCCTCCCACAGTCCCTAGTTGACTGGGGGAACTGACTCAAATTCCTCCACTCCCTGTGACGTGCTTATTTACATTTGATTTCTAATTTCCGATTGACTTGATATGGACTGGACAGGAACAGACAAAGGGCCAGCTGTGGCCTGAAACCATACAATACCCAGATCTGTGTTTAAAGAAGGTTCCAAAAATCAGTAGAAATATTAGCCATGATTAATTTGTTCCACTAATTTAAGTGGTTTTCCCCTAAGCATAACTAAGTTTGCTGCTGATTAATGTTTTTATGTCATTCCATCTTCCCAAGATTTCAGAGCCATATGCACAATTCTCTTTCCCTTATCTTTATAACTAGCATATTATATTGGGGTATCAAAATATTTCCCAGAATCTTTTGCAGCAAAGGTCGAGCTCCATGTCAACGAATGTCTCGATACAAAACAATCCCTGGTTATCCCCTGTGATAAGCACATTGAGCTTCCTTGGCAGCAAAAATAACTCCTGGCTAAATTTAACTACAATGTCTTCATATGTCCCAGAATTATGTCCTGGCAGCAGACCAAATATCCCAAGTTTTGAATCCAGGGAGTGGCAGGGGTCTTGTGAGTTGTGAGCAAGGGATTTCTGATGTCAACATGAATAACACTTCTTGAATTAAACAACTAGAAAAAGAAAGGCAGAATGAACATCCAAAAAGTGAATGGTGGGTATTGAATTGAACTTCAGTCTGGAAGATAGATAAGAGGTAACCATTTACACTGTTTTCATTCCTCCTGCTAAGAATCTTTGCTGTTATGTGCTGCATTACGTGCTGTTTTTCCTTTAGTGGATTTTACTATTTGGACACCAATACTGATTGCAATCTGCTTGAACCTGCCCAATCAGCCAGTGTTCCTTGTGCCAATGCCAACAACATTTATAACAAGGGTAACTGACAGCAAGACTGAATAATAATTGACAAATTATCCCAATGGAACATTTACTTTTCAAAATTCATACTTATTATATGGGATTATCATCAACATACTGATCACCACAAAGAAAGGAATAAATATTTTACCATCCTTAAAAAATCCTAGGAAATCCTAAGTGTAGCACCAAGCTTTGCTCAGATGCTAATGTTTATGCAAATCTATTGCACTATTTGTGGAATACGTTCCTTAATGCAGAAGGCCAGTATCACATTACTTCCATAATGTTGAGTCTAGACTAAATGGACTTCGTAAGGTAGACTAGAACTGACTGAAAATTTAAATTCAGGTGTTCTGTGCTACACTGTGAACCTTTTTCCTTGATAGTACAAGTCGTGATTTGATTTTTGTGTTATGTTGGGATGGAAGTGTTGGTATCTTTGATGCATGCTTATTTTGATAATGCAGGTGGCAGGCACATAGGAGTATATACCTGTAATCTATTACTATCATGTTCCTTTCATGTTTCTGTAAAAGGATTTAGCTTTTCCATCCCCAAATCTGAGTATAAAAATGTTTCGGTATACATATCGCAGTTTATGAATTTGCAGAAAAGAATATATTCCCCAATAACACTTATTTATCTGCAAATTTCTTTTGAAATAAATTAGGCTTCTATCCAATAAATGTGTACAGAGTAAACTCCTATAAGTTCGAATGAGCTTTTCCATGGCAAAGTAACCCATTCTGTGAAAGAAAATTAAACTTACCTTTTTTGATGTGGTTTTTCTTCCAAACTATCCAGGTGCCTTAGATATACATTTGTCTTAACTGGTGAGACAAGATATTCCGCCACCTCCACTGTTCTGCTCAAAAGTGTCTTTGTAATTAGATAGGAGCTCATTTTGGTACTGATTGTATTCTGCCCTTAATCTGGTAATAGGCTTAGCATGTTGGAACAGGTCAGGTGTTCAGAATTAACCTCAAAGTCCAAAGTAAGCTCAGACAGATGGCATATTTGGGAAATTTGATCAGTACTCATCAGAACGATAAACAAGCATATTATCTAAATAATGAAAAATTGGGTGGTGAGTTTGATTCCCATTGAATGAGATTGACCAATGAGTTTACACATCTTTTTTTAGACATTCATCCTGTTTCCTCTAGGAAAATTAGTGAGAATGAAGCATCCATCAACTGAAGTTCAATTATTATAAGCTTGAGTGGATGCTTCCTTGTGAATTTCTTGGTAGCAATGCATAAATTATTTATTCTTGCCTTCTTTGTCAATGCTTTCCAATTTAATCTATAGCTCTATAGTTTAGTGATGATCTTCCATTCAAATAGTTAACCATTCTGACCCTACTTAGATTAACCAAGCTCAGCTAGTTGTGCTATCCGGTATGATAGAGATTGTCTATGTACCCCAAATCTACTGCCAGGATTGACTCTTGGAATACATTGAATAATTAGAAAATTACCTTTCACCCAGGAATACTGCATTTATAGTACCAATTCAATTATCATACAATGTCACTACACAATTAAGTTTAGGAGGAAGTGCTTCCAGTCATTGTGTGTAGTTATATGTATAAGGAGTGTGCGTGTGTATGGGGGGGAGGAAGAGAGAAAGCTATTCCTGTGTACTGGTTGGATGAAGGTCAAATTCAGGTTAAATTTGTGACACAGCTTCTCTCTGTCATTAGTCTTCTAAAGGTACTTAGTGGCTTAATGTGAAGAGAGCTAAATAGGTATCAGGAGCACAATGCATTCCCTACATTTTCACCCAACCTTAAGTACTCCTATTTTATCAGCAATGTAACATCCAAAGTATCTAACTTTTTACTGAAATTAAATCTTTTCATGGACACTAACTCCTTATTTAATGACAGGAGATTACAGCACACCATAAATCTATATTGTTAGAACCTGGGCAAAGCCACGGTCTCAGTTTATCTCAGCAGTGATATTCAGTGGCTAATTCAATAATATAGATTTCATGAAACATGACTTCTTATTTGTTACAGAGAAAGAGCAGTTCTGCATACTCAGCAGCTTTTGATACTGCTTTTATGTGTGGATGGAGCCTATTTTTAGTTGGGAGTGTTTATAGTTTCCAACAAAATGCAGTAAGAGAGCCCCAGCTTTTCTTTCTTTAATGGAGATCTGAATCCTAGAAAGTTGTCCAGAGACATTGTCAGAGTATTCATTTATAGGCAGAGACTTAGTTAACAGAGTCAGTGAATAGACATGGTAACAGACCAGCCAATGGGAGCTGACCTGGAAAGTGAAACTGGAAGTTCTCTCTGTCTTTTTGCTGGTGCTGCTGACATGTTGCAACATGTTTCTGTTTGAGTTTGCTTCATGTTGGAGAAATCTAGAACTGGTTTGTAAAATTTACTTACTATGTTTATAAAGACATTAAATGAAGCACCAGCCATCTGTGTTTATTTTTCTGGCGCTGAATTAACGCTGTAAAACTCTGAATAGACATCAACACCTTTAAGATACAGGTTTGCATGTATATTCTCAAATCTAGCAGATGCTAATTAAAATTGGCGTTAAGTACAAAGCAGTTGTGGGACATGGTGGCTCAGTGGCTAAGATGCAAAGCTTATCGATCAGAAAGGTGAACAGTTCAGCGGTTCGAATCCCTAGCACCACATAACAGAGTGAGCTCCCATTACTTGTCCCAGCTTCTGCCAACCTAGTAATTCAAAAACATGTAAAAACGCAAGTAGAAAAATTGGGATCACTTTGGTGGGAAGGTAACAGTGTTCCGTGTATCTTCGGCATTTAGTCATGCCAGCCACATGACCATGGAGACATTTTCGGACAGCACTGGCTCTTCGGTTTTGTAATAGAGATGACCATCGCCCCTAGAGCCGGAAATGACTAGCGTGTATGTGCGAGGGGAACCTTTACCTTTACCTTACAAAGCAATTAATTTATTATGATGATGTACATAACAACATTACCAGAGAAGGGATAATTTAGTACCTATATTTTGTTTCATCCTTTTTCAAATATTTCCCCATTTAGCCAATGGATTCTTTGATTCAATTTAGCTGGAACCACAAAATGAAGACCATGCTTTCAATATGATTTACTAAGAGGAAATTTATAGTTTGCCATAGCTGCTGAAACTGGGATCTTAGAATACACATTCTGTTACACATTTCAAGACAGCAGCATTATGCAAAGCACAGAAAAGGGGAAGGAATACAGTAAGCCAGGGAAGTTAAATGCATAAAAGCAGGAGGGGGGGAGGGGATGAGGAGGAGGAGGAGGAGGAGGGGGAGAAAGAGGAGGGGGAGATTAATGCTATGCACCATCATTATTTACAATAACTTTCTGTATCCTTTGAGTCATCATACAACCCATCCCACATAGACCACAGATTATATGTATACATGTGCATTCAAGTCCCCAACCAATACACTTCTAATGTCACTATAAACCTTTTTATCCACAGATAACGAACAGGACATCACTCTTGGTGTAATCGAAAAGCTTGCTAAGCATTACATTTATATTCACATGTGTTACTTCTTCCATATCCTACTGTTACTACATTCAGCAACTACCCATCAACTCTGTATTTGTGCAAAATATTTTATAATTAAAACATATACATTTTATATAAATCAACACATTTTCTTTCTTACTTTTTTGCTGAAGAGTCAAAAGCTGGCCTATATCCCTGCTTGGCACAAAACCCTATTACACTTCCCAAAATGTGCTTATTGTTTAAGTCTTCTAAACACCTTCCCAGGTACAGTTAACAGTCTAATTTCTCTGTAGCTTTTGCATTCACTCTTGCTTTTCTTTTTTGTCAGATACATAAAAACTTCATACGTATGTTAAACAAATCACATAGCCACACCATAAACAACCCAGCTTAATATTTCAAAACTTCCAGTCGAGCTATTTTCTAAGGGGTCAAGCTATTTTCTAAAGCACCTGTAGACCAGACAAGGAATAATGGATGGAAACTGAACAAGGGGAGATTTAACCTGGAAACAAGGAGAAACTTTCTGACAGTGAGAACAATCAACCAATGGAACAGAAATTGCCCTCAGAAGCTGTGGGAGTGCCATCAGTTGAGACTTTCAAGAAGAGATTGGACTGCCATTTGTCAGAAATGGTGTAGGGTCTCCTGCTTGGGTGGGGGGTTGGACTAGATGATCTACAAGGTCCCTTCCAACTCTGATTTTCTGTTATCAGTTACAATACCTATTGGCAAAATCTCACAATTTTTTAGCATACTTTCAGCCATTCTTCCTTGGACACTAAGATATGAATTATTCATTTCTATTCTACTTTTCAATTTACTGTCTCGTTCATGTCAGCCTTCAGTTTGTTTCCTTTTTGCTCATCAAATAGTCATTCTCATTCATATTTCTACATTATTCACTAGATTTGCAACTATCATCACATTGTGGTTTCTTACTTTCATATGCACATATGCACAATTAGTACTTTATAAAAATGCTTCTCAAACCTTTTCCTTCATTAGTCAAAACCATTTATCGGAAAGGTCAAATTTAAATGTTCCTGTTTGAGGAAAGAACTTGAATATTGTTACCCAAAGAAAAACCATGTTTAGTCAATGTTGATGCACTGCTTTATAGCATATATTTTAACTCTTTCTTAATTAAGGATAAATTTCCAAACAGTGAGAATAATTAATCAGTGGAACGATTTGTCTCCCAAAATTCTAGTGTTCTATCACTAGAAGATTTTAAGAAGAGATTGGACAGCCATTTATTGGACTAAAAAATCTCCAAGGTTTCTTCCCACCCTATTATATTCTATGTTTTATAATTAAACCTACATGTTCGCTTTCCTGCATTCACTCCACCAGATCAGAAGACCTTTATTCAGAACCACTGTATCTTGTACTTTGTCTCAGATTCACAAACATAGAGCACATCCTTCTTTCATTTATAGAATTAGTTAGAGTAATTTACTACTTATTCCTTAATAGTCCAACCTTCCATATGTTGTGGTCATAGTCAGATGGACCCTTAGATATTGACTTCTGTTGCCATCAAAACTTTGGTCAGTCAAGGCTTTCACATAATGCTTTTAATAAAATAAAGGTATAGCTTAAATTACTAAGAGTAATTATAACTGTGTCACATGCAATATTTCCTGTCAATGAAAAGGATACTTCTATTCAGTGGAACATTTGAGGCAATCTGTCAAAACCGTAACAAGAGCCCAGTTTTAACTCAAGCATCTTCACACTATTCTATGCAACCTAGACTAACCTATGTCTGCATCCCTCCCATGTGTCAGTACAATACAGTATGGTCCCAGGAAGTAAACATACAGAGTTTCTTAAAAAGAAAGCTTCATTGATGTAGTAGTCCTCAACTTACGACCACAGTGGGCCCCAGAAGTTTTGATGTAATTCATTGTGCTCATAATTTGAGGCACCACAGACTCACTTTTAGAACAATGTTTAGATTCATAGGTATAAAATGAGTCACTGCGATCTTTAAATAAATCAGATAGTTGTTAAGCAAACCCAACATATCCAATTGGCGTTTTTTGCCAGAAGCCAACAAAAACACCACAAACAGGCAAAAACATTGCAAATCGCAGTCATGTTACTATGGGATGCTGCAACTGGTTGTAAATGAGCCAGTTGCCAAGCACCCAAAATGCTATCACATGATTATTGAGTCCCTATGTGTGTGCCAGTTGTAATTTCAAGGATAGGTCATAAATATATATATTTTTAAGTTTCTTGTAACTTTGAATAGTACTTAAGTGACCAGTCATAATTCAAGAACTGCTGATACCTTCAGTGTAATCATTTCAAACTTTTCATCTTCAAATGTGACTAAATGGTCTGGTAACATGAAAGAGAAATCATCTGAGTAAGTATGGGAGCCGAGACTACAAAAGAAGAACCAATGATTATCAGGCAAGATATATAAATGTGGGATAGATAAATCCAAAGATTTAAATCTGAGAGCTATAGGCATCCCAAGCCAGCCATAATGACAGAACAAAAGTACACATTTAGAGAGATTACAGTGCAAATCCTGCATCTATATACTTGTGTGCTGAAGTATGTGTATGTATGCATGAAGTCTGCATATATACATTGTGGAAAAACAAGAATCCAACCAAATATGTATGTGCGTATATTCTTGTTTTTGTGCAGTAGCCAGTCTTGCTGCATTTATTTTCATCTACAGTAAATAAACCCGTCTAGCCATCCTAAGT